AAAAGTTACTTGTCACTGTAGACTCTATGTATTCTTGAAAAGAGAAAATGCAAATAATACTCCCACCCAGACCTTATCTTTTCTCCCATCATATTCACTGTCTGAGATATTCACAGGAGATTTCAGGTCTGTACGTAATGTATTTCTGCCTTTGAAACTTCCTTGGCACCTTCAGGTATAACATTCTATGTTTCCTCTCCAGACAGCCGTTGAATTTACATAAGTTGTCATCATTTGGCTGTAACTTCTCATTTTCTAAAACACCTATAGCAATTAAAAGTTCATTATGTCTGTAAGTGATCTGGGATTATTATCCATGGTCATGACAGAATTTTAGTAAGGTTATACTAAAGGTTCAGAATTCTCATATGTCCATTACAGGAGTGAACTCTGCAATGTTACCCACTCCTGGGCCAACAAATTCAAGATTAATGAATGGAAAATTGCTGGACACGATATTTTGATCTGTGTTCCTACAACTCACGAAGCAGATACATTTGATGTTTTACATTTAATTTTGTAGTATGATTGTTGCAATAAGTTGTACAATACAATCAAGTAATTATGATATTCAAATACATAGTTAAAAGGTCGTACTTGAAAAATCTGCTTCAAAATCAGAATTTGCATTAATTTGATTCCTCCCATGATTTATGAATTGTTCAAAGTGCCTCACAGTCAATTATATACTTCTGAAATATAGCCAACATTGAATGCTGGGAAGCACAGTTTGTACGCAGGAATGTCCCACAACCAGCAATGAGATAAACATTTAAGCAATATACTTTAGTGGAACTGTCTGAAGGATGAACATTGGCTAACGTATCAGAAGAATTCACCTACTCTTCGTCACACAATGACATTGAGCCTTTGAAATTTTAAATCAAATTTAAATAATTGAGAATACATTCAGGGATTCATTTCAGCACCTTATCTAAAAGATGGTACCTCTGACATTGTAACACTCCCACAGAATTGTACTTATTGTCTCCCCTTTGGAGTAATAAATACTTCAGGTTTGCATGCATCTTCAGGATCCGATCGCTCTATGGCACTGCAGAATAACTTTGGTGGGTGATTTTTCTATTTTTTGCCCCAACATCTTTATTGTATTTCTCTTCAAGTATATTTCCCAATTCTTGTTTCACTCTCCTACCTTTGGTCAAGTACAGAGTTAAGTTTAATGTTTTGAATCCTGCCAGTTTTTAAAAAAAAATCTGTTATGGGATATGAGTGCCACTGGCTGGGCCAGTATTTATTGCCCATCCCTAATTGCCCAAAGAGGAGTTAAGAGTCAACCACATTGCTGTGGATCTGGAGTTGCATGTAAGCCAGATTGGGTAAGGACAGCAGATTTCCTTCACTAAAGGACATTCATTAACCAGAAGGCTTTTTAAGATGATTGACAATGGTTATAGGGTCCCTTTAAAAAAATTCTATATCATAGAATCCCTACAGTGTGGAGCAGGTCATTTGGCCCATCAAGTCCACATCGACCCTCCGAAGAGCAGCCCACCCAGACCCAACCCCCCATCCCTACAACCCTGCATTCTCAATGGCTAATCCACCTAGCCGGTATATCCCTGGACACTGTGGGCAATTTATCATGGCCAATCCACCTAACCTGTACATCTTTGGATTGTGGGAGGAAACTGGAGCACCTGGAGGAAACCTACGCATACATGGGGTGAATGTGCAAACTCCACACAGTCACCCAAGGATGGAATCAAACCTGGGTCCCTGGCTCTGTGAGGCAGCAGTGCTAGCCACTGAGCCACCATGCCACCTATAGTTCTATTGAATTCAAATACAACCAGCTGCTATGGAGGGATTCACACACATGTTCCCAGATTATTGCCCTGGGACTCTGCATTACTGGTGCAGTGACATTCCCACTGCTCCGTCACCTTTCCACTAGACTAAGTTTCTCAGTGCTTTCTTTCTGTTCTGTGCCTGTTGTAACTGACTGTGGACATTTCAGTGGGCGACTCTTATTGGTAGACACAGGGCCACCACCTCCACCTAGAATGCATTCTTATGTTTTTAACCTCCCTCAGACACTTCTCCAAGCAATATTCAATCACGGAGAGGGCTGATATATCAGTTAAGGGGAGTGCAAAAGGTGGTGATCATCAATTTACATTGATGTTGTTTGACCTGAAATTATGGGATTTCACAGGATCCAGAGAAAATGGACATTCCCAGGCCTTTTCCCATCTGACTATACCACTATACATACACATTTGGTATTTCTAGCCTGCTGATAGATGAAGACATAGCCAGGGTTGATAATGGTGCAAGGTAAAATGTTGATTGACAGATATGAGTGCTGACACAAATTTTGGAACTTTGACAGTAGATCTTTCTGATTTATAAAGCACTTATGTCTTAGCTATTTATGTCTTAAAGCATTTATAGGCATTGAATTACTTTCAAAATGCAATATTGTTGCCAAGAAGATAAGCACAATATTATACAACATTATGCATGCTATGCATAATCACAATTGCTGAGAAGGAAGACAGTTCAGGGGTTACAGAGCCAATCAGTCAAGGCCCATGAGACTATTGTAAAAGTGATAAGGTTTTGGAATGTCAAACAAAGACAATTAAAACTAAACAAGATATACTATTTATGCTTTGTATAAGACCTTGTCCAGGCCACATATCGAATACTGGGTTCAGTTTTAGCAGTATCTTATGATGGCACCATAGTTCAAATGTAGTCCACTTGAGTATTCGAGATAACAAGGTGTAGAGCTGGATGAACACAGCAGGCCAAGCAGCATCAGAGGAGCAGGAAAGCTATCGTTT